TTGTAGCTATCACATACCCAGTGACAGAATGTCAACATGTCTACTTAGAAAGTGACGACTATTTCCAACAGAAATGATGAAAATTACACAATTAACACAAAGTGACAGTGATCCCGATGATATTATCTGTCAGTAGTAGCTATCACATACCCAGTGACAGAATGTCAACATGTCTACTGAGAAAGTGACAACTATTTCCAACAGAAATTATTACACCAACAAAAATTTGTCTAACGAAAACACAGAACATGTAAAATTTGTCTAGACATTACACTCTAAAACAGCTTCTTTAAAAAAACCACCATGTATTAACAACATCTCTTCACTTAATATCACATTTTTAACTTAAGCTACTAAAATTCGTTAAATAAATAAAGTTAAAAAAATTATTATTTTACAATACAAAATGTACCATGTTACTCCTATAAAAGTTACTTGTATACTGAGGTCTTAATATAATATCATAGATTTTTATATTGAGTTTAAACGTAATTAGTTCTAATTATGTAATTAATTAATCATCCTTAAATAATGATTAATTAGTTAATTAAAACATTTTGTGCAAAATTCTAATTTAACCCTATCGATTTATTAATTAGGTGATTAAGGAATTATTTTGATTATTACTGTGATTTCTTTTTTTTAAAAAAATTATAAGATTTAAATGAATTTCTAATGTTAAGTTAGTTATACAAAGAAAATAATTAATGTATTGAAATAAATTATTAAAAGCGATGTAACTAAAATACTAAAAAATAAGGTTTATTAAAATTATCAATACTTACATCAATCAGTACCTAGGGCATTTGGACTCTGCAAATCACTAATTCCTTCACTTCAAAAGTACTGAAAACTATCTAAATGACTACTTTATTCACACTTTTTCTAAACACTATCCTAAAAGTGACTTGTTACTCCTTCGATGGTTTATTTCTAACTGTGACAAATAATTAAATTCATCACCTATTTATACGATGTAAAATCTATTATGTCATTAATTAATTAATTAATAATTAGTGCACTAATTTATTAATTAAGTTATTTTGTACAAAAGTTGCAATGAAATTAATGTGGCTTTATATTTTCGTAATTTTAATAAAAACAAAATAGTTTTTTAACTCCTAGTTAGATCAAAAAATTTTTTTTTTTTAAACATCTATCTTACTAATGCTATAAATGCGAAAGTTTAGATATACATGTAGAGCATAGTCTGGTAGAACACATAGGTTATATACTTATTTGTAATTAAGCTTAAGGGACAGATCTACAAGTCCGTCATAAGACCTGTCGTATTGTATGGATCTAAATGTTGGGCCACCAAAGTGGCGGATTAAAGGAGATAGCATGTGGCTGAGATGCGTATGTTAAGATGGATGTGTGCTGTTACAAGAATGGATAAAGTTAAGAATGTGTATATTAGGGGAAGTTTGAAAGTAGCGCCAGTGTTGGAGAAATTGAGGAGCAAAAGGTTAGCGTGGTATGGACATGTCATGCGATGAGACGATGGGGAAATAAACCAGAGAGTGTTAAGAATGATTGTGGATCTACAAAGGAAGAAGAAGACCGAAGAAAGTATGGATGGATTGTGTGAAAGAGGATATGCTTAAGAAAGGAGTGGATTCAGATATGATGGCTAATGGAGATGTATGGAAGAGCAACACATACTGTGCCGACCCTCCATAAGGGATAAGGGCAAGTTAACATTAAGTACGGGTACATAATGTTGTTATACTTTTGTAGCTGTGGTCCGTCCATATAAACTAGAAAAAATATTTAATTTGGCTATTATTTACTTTAGCGTATTTAAAAGTAAACAAAATACAGTTGAATAAGTAATCAAATATTTGTTTACTTAATTAACTTGTTTACAACTTGAATTGCATTGTTGTATACATTAAGTAAAGGATTATCCCAACAAGTTGATTTGTTTGTAAACATTATGTTCTTAGAACTTTACTACGTAAAAAAGGTTTTTTGTCCATCATTAAAAAAACGCTTGTTTGGTTTTAAGAGAAAGTAGGAATTACAAACGTTAGGCTGACATTTGTTTTCTACAAGCTGTTGCCTGCGAGTAGCTTTTAGTTATAACTTATGAAATTAAAAAAAAACACTGCTTTCTCAAATTAATAATGACCATAACAAATATTGAGAGTAAATAAATGTTTATTACTACCACAGCCGTACGTAATCGAATTGGATTTCGCTAATATTTCTGTCATCGCTAAATTCTCTACACTATAATCAATACTAGAATTGTCCTATAAATTAGTTAATAAGAATATAATAATTTTAGTTGAGTTCGATAATTATTTAAACCAAATATCGATAGTTCAAAATTGTCTGCTGCGTGTTTCGTCACTACGATACCTGTCTATTAAGTATAACATTTGCCTTCATACAAATAGAATTCGATACTTCATATGCGTCATTTATCAAATTAATCTATCTTATTTAGGCACACTGTAGTCAACCTTTAAACTTAGTTTCACTTTAGCACTATTTCTCACGGTTTTTCATTTACAAGAAAACTGTAAATGCTTTTTGATTATTTTGTTTTTATAGTATCGATATTTTATCTGTGGCTTTGTTTGTGGTGAACTTTAAAATATGTGTTACGTTCACGTTAAAAAATTAGACGTTATTAGGATTGACTAAATTTAGTAACGTATATATTGCTCGCGGTTTCGTCTGTATGTATTTAAAAAAAACAATATAAAATAGCCTATATTACTCAGTGATAATGTAGCTTTTGTTTGTGAAAGAATTATTGAAATCATCCCAGTAGTTTTTGAGTTATTTCAATATATACAAAAATGCAAATCATTCCTCTTTATAATATTAGTATAGTTAGATTCAGAAGTTTAATTCTGAAGCCTTTAATAAATATTTAGTACTTTCATCAATCTATACTAATATTATAAAGAGGAAAGATTTGTATTTTTGTATGTATTGAAATAATTCAAAAACTACTGGGGGGATTTTAAAAAATCTTTCTGTAAAATAATTACAAAGTCAAATCATGTCGTACTTCATGTTAGTATTATAAATGCGAAAGTTTAGATGGATGGATGTTTGTTAGAGTTTGTAGCCTAAACTGCTGAACAGATTTTTATGAAATTTGGTAGAGATGTGGAGACATTCTGGAAGAACACATAGGGTACTTGCTTTTGTTTTTTTTAATTCCACGCGGACGAAGTCGTGGGTGAAAGCTAGTTAATTATATTTTTGGTTTTAAGGCTACCAAGTTAGTGGTTATGTAAAAAATGTCCAAGTGAAGTGTCAACTGTACCTCCTCTATATGTATTTTTGAATCTCTTTGTTAAAGCCATTGTTCTAACGTTGTATTTCTCAGCTAAAAATACGAAATCAAATAATATGTGGACATTTATCTAATAGTCTTGTTTCTCACAATAACAACAACACTAATTACACTAGAATTAACTATCTATATTTGTGGTTGAAAACCTTATTTTATCTATTATATTGATAAACACCACAATTCTATTCAACGTGTAGTATTTACTAGCTATCCACCCCGACTCTGTGTGGAATTTTAAAAAATCAAGTAGCGTATGTGTTCTTTCAGACTATCCTCTACATCTATGCCAAATTTCATTGAGATCGGTTCAGCAGTTTAGGCTACAAACTCTAACAAACATCCATCTAAACTTTCGCATTTATAATATTAATAAGATAGATGACGATTTCTTAATGAGTCATTCGTGTTGTAATATTTTTTGACGATTTAATAAATCTATATAAATTTACTAATCACTTCTAGTAGTAGTAATAGTTAACTACTAGCTGTTGCTCGCGACTTTGTCCCTGTGAAAAATAAATGTAGTCTATCTTACTCACAGATAAATAACCTTTCTAACGGTAAAAGAAATTTTAAAATCGCCCCAGTATTTTTTTTTTTTTATAATACGAGGTGGCAAACGAGCAAGCGGCCACCTGAATCCACCGAAATGGAAAGTGACCGCTGCCGATAAACATCCACTATTGTAGATGCGTTGCCTACCCTAATTGGCGGAGGTGGAGACGCACATAAAGAGGACATTTCCCCTTCCTATGCATCTCCTTAACCGTCCAATCCACTTTTTCCTCCCATCCTTTCCTCTTAACAAAAGGGTGGAAAGGAAAAGGGACTAAAATTAGGCCTCCGGCACCAATAGTTTTTGAGTTATTTCAATATATACAAAAATACAAATCTTTCTTTATAATATTAATATAGACAAGCAACTATCTGTACTCGCGACTTCGCCCGGGTAATATTAAAAATATTATAATATAGCCTATGTTACTTTTTGATAACGTAGCTTTTTAATGGTAAAAGATTTTTTGAAATTTCCCAGTAGTTTTTGAGTTATTACAATACATGCACAAATATAATATTAGTATAGATAACAATTACAAATTGTATTAAAAGTATTCTCATTTCTGTCAAATTTAACTCATTTAAAAGAAAACACTTACCCAGTTTTATGCAAGAACTATACTCTCTTTATAATGTTTATACCTTTTGTATACATTTGTGTGAGAATATTACGTGATAAATGATTTTATATGATGATTTTACTTACTCTGCATTTTAACGTTTGCTTGTTCATATACAAAGAAATGTGATGTGTTTGTCTTACTAATGTAAATGCGAAAATTTAGATGGATGTTTGTTAGAGTTTGTAGACTAAACGGGTGAACGGATCTCGATGATATTTGGCATGTAGAGGATAGTCTGGAAGAATACATAGGCTACTCACTTGTGTTTGTTTAATTCCACGCGGACGGATTCACGCGCGATAGGTAGTGCTACATACATGAAACGGCGAAATGGTTTTTTGCAATCAAATATTTATTTAAACAAAATAACTTAATTATACAATTTTATCTTAATCTATACTAATATTATAAAGAGGAAATATTTGTATTTTTATGTATTGAAATAACTCAAAAACTACTGGGATAATTTCAAAAATTCTTTCACCATTATAGCTACGTTATCACTGAGTAAAATAAGTTGTATTTTTTTATTATCACGCGGATGAGGTCGCGAGCGACAGCTAATTTTACATATATTTATAGAATATTTTAAGTACATTTGTATGTTTTTAAACATGTAAATAAACAGTAACATATGTTAATAAATCTGATTTAAAAAAACTTCAGGTTGACAAAATAATTCGTTACATAATATAATCGAGTATCATAAAATCTTTATAATTATACAATTAATAAATATTACAAGATGTAATAAAATAAAACAACAAGCAAATCCATAATAAATACACTAGTTTGTCTTCGAATACAAAAACTACAAACTCTGCAAGGTTCTCAAAACGCAAGCTCTGCAATTTAAACAAAGTTATTACAGAAATAAACTTTATTGCATTGTAATAAAGTTGATATCACAATGTTTATTGTATTTAAGTCACTTGTCACAGTCTTCCGTATGCTCTACAATTAATATATGTCACGGACAATTTATTGGTTACATATTTTGTGTATTAGCTGTTGCTCTCGACTTCGTCCGCGTGATTTAAAAAAATAAAGCCTATGTTACTCACTGACAATGTAGCTTTTTAATGGTGAAATAATTTTTGTAATTGACCCAGTAGTTTTTGAGTTATTTCAATACATACAAAATCCAAATCTTTCCTCTTTATAATATCAACTAGCTGTTCCCGTGCGACTTGATCCGCATGAAATTATGAAAATATAATTTCTTTGCTTACATTTGTCAAATTATCAATTATAAATGTCAAAATGATATGACATGACGACAACCTTGCTTCCTTGATGTTGGAAGCAACTTATGGTCTCTTTCTCGTTTACCCCTTAAGTTTAATAGCGTTAAAATATATAGCCTAAAGCGTGACCTAAAACGGGTGAGTAGATCGCGCTGAAATTTGGCATAAACGTAGAGGTTAGTCTGGAAGAACACAAAGGCTACACTTTTTTTTTAATCGACGAAAGCTAGTTTATCAAATAATTTATTCACATACACATGAGCAAACAAATACGGAACACAATTAGATCTTACTCAGAACATAAATAAAGGAATTTAAATGTGTGAAACTTTAATGTAGTATAGTTAAACTTCAATAGCCTAATGGTCTGGGGTACGGACTATCGATTTTACGGTCTAGGGTTCGAATCCCGCTATTCGACTATTGTCGTGAACCATATCCTAGCATAAGCCTAGAGCTTAGTTGGAATGGTTAAAGGAAATATTAGTAAATTAACAAAAATCTACTAATATTTCTAAAAAAAAGTATATACAAATAAATAGATATTATGTATAAATAAAAATATATAATGAGATAAGTACACTACAAATTAACATACATACAAACAAATAAAAATCAGGGTAAAAAAGTGATATATTTATTTTATAATTTTATCACCAGGTCGGCTTCAAAGGTTACGGGTTATCACCTGAGCAGATGAAAGCCTCCGGCTCGTTCACCTACAGCGATGGTTCAACGTACACCATCACCCATGGCTCTGTCATCATCGCCGCCATCACCTCCTGTACTAACACGTCCAATCCAACGGTGATGTTGGGAGCTGGTGAGTAACCTGCGTCTTTTCAGTTGTCGGTGGTTCTTTGAGCATTTGACTTGTAATCCACAGGCCTTGGGTTCGAAACTCGCTGTACTATTGATTCTTCGAATTTCATATACATTTTTTTTAATATAAGGTGGCTAACGAGCAAGCGGCCGCTGCCCATAAACATCCGAAATTGCAGATGCGCTGCCTACCCTTCATTGACGGAGGAAGAGACGCACATAAAGAGGACTTTTCCCCTTATGCGTTTCCTCCACCGTCAAATCCACTATTCCTTCCCATCCTTTTCTCTTAAGAAAAGGGCGGAAAGGGACTATAATGAGGCATCCGGCACCACACTCTTCAGACTGTACACGGAATTGCTTCCACTTGACGCCTGTCTGTGTGGTCGTGGTATTGGGGGCGAGCCCTGCAGTGCTAAGATGTTAAAGCGGGCACTGCCACTGTCTACAATTATGAAAATATTTCCTTTTCAAGGTCTACTCGCAAAGAAAGCTGTTGAGAATGGTCTAAGCGTACTTCCGTATATTAAGACTTCGCTCTCACCAGGTTCTGGAGTCGTTACTTATTATCTGAAAGTAAGTGAACAATATTGTCCATTTTTTTTTTTACTAGCTTTTTCCCGCGACTTTGTCCTCATAAAAAAACAAGTAGTCTATGTGTTCCAGACTGTCCTGTACATTTGACAATCATCAGTATCCGTTCTGTTTAGAATATAAACTAACAAACATCTAAACTTCAATATTTATGTATAGATTGTTTTTAGATAATAATTATTGTATTTTTTATCTTGTTTAGTCTAAAATAATTTACATATTATTATATTTAATTAATGAAATTAATCAACTAATTAATTAATTCATTGATTAAATGTTAGTCGATTAATTAATTAATTAATTAATTTGTATTATTCCAGGAATCAGGTGTTGTGCCTTATTTAGAAAAGTTGGGTTTCGATATCGTAGGCTATGGATGTATGACTTGTATTGGAAATTCTGGACCCATCGATGATAATATTGCAAACACTATAGAGAAGGTGAGGATTAATTTGTTTTAAACCCTTTTTGATTTAGCTTATCTTAACTCGCTATAACACGGTTGATAGTTCCACGTGTAGGAATCTCTCCGTATAACAACAGCTATATGAGAATTTGAATCTTTTTTTTGGGAATATCGCGTTATGGGGTCATATTTCCGTGTTATTTAGGGGTTTGTTAAAAAAAGTTGGTAATATTCGTGTTATAGGGGGATCTACCGCGTTTTTGGGTAATTGTTAAAAATAGTTGGTAACATTCGCGTTATAAGGGGCCTATCGCGGTTTTTTTTAAATAGTTGGTAATGTTCGCGTTATAAGGAGTCTACCACGTTATATGGAAGTTTTCTAAAAAAAAAGTTAGGAAAAATCGCGTTTTATGGAGGTAGGAATGGTTATTTACGTCACCTTAACGTTATTACAGAACGAATTAGTTTGCTGCGGGGTGTTGTCAGGTAATCGTAACTTTGAGGGTCGTATCCACCCCAACACGCGCGCCAACTACCTCGCATCCCCCCTCCTGGTGATAGCGTACGCGCTGGCGGGTACTGTCGACATCGACTTTGAAACTGAACCCCTTGGTAAGTAATACCATCTAGTCTGAATTCTTATAAGGCATATAGTATGGATTCGTGTTTAACATCTAGTATGGGTTGATATAATGCATATAGTGAGGGTTATTGTGTTTAAAAAGAATTGTAAAAGTATTAATATTTTCAAAAATAAACTCAAGTTACATATTATTGCCGAATTATTATAAAATCTTTTCAGTTGCCTATAGGTATATACGAGTACATGTAACTTGGTTACTTGTCATTTATGTTAATTTAGATTATTTTAAGGCTTGTTTTGATTTATATTAATTAATAGTGTACCTAGTGTCTTTTTGTGTTTATACTATTTCATGTACTTACCCGCAAGCTCACAATTACATTGTACATATTTAAATTTTCTCATTGTAAGTGAAACATTATGTTTTTTATGAGAATAAATATCTTTAAACCTAAACCTAACATCTATTGTGGGTTCTTGTGCCTGACATCTAGTATGGGTTCTTGTTTATAACATCTTGTTTGGGTTCTTGTGTGCTACATATAGAGTGGGTTCTATTAATGCATATAGTGAGAGATCTCGTTTATAACAAAATCTAATGTAAGTTCTTGTTAATAACTTCATATAGTTTGGTTTCTTGTAATGCATATAGTCGGTTCTTATTTGTAAGTATAAAAAAATGTCTTGTATGGGTAAGAACCCAATTATAACAACATTTAGTGTGGGTTTTTATTGAATATATAGACATTTAAAATTATTTTTTACTTTATTATTTAGTAAAACGCCATCTATCGTGTGATAACTTAAACAATGTCGGTAGGTAAGAGAGCTGACGGCAGCGCCGTGTTTTTGAGAGACATTTGGCCAACTCGTGCTGAAATACAAGAAGTTGAGGACAAAAATGTCATACCAAGTATGTTTAAAGAGGTAAGTAGATTTAATGCCATTTTAATATGATATATTTGATATCTTTACTAATATTATAAAGAGGAAAGATTTGTATTTTTGTATGTATTGAAATAACTCAAAAACTACTAGAACGAATTCAACAGTTCTTAAACCATTATAACGATAATTTATCTTTGAGTAACATAGGCTAAGTTTTTTTGAATTCCGCGCGGACCAAGACGCGAGGAATATAATATAAATAGGAAAGATTTGTATTTTTGTGAATTGAAATAACTCAAAAACTACTGGGACGATTTCAAAAATTCTTACACCACTAAAAAGCTACGTAACCGCTAAATATCAGACTACTTTTTTTTTATTCCACGCGGACGAAGTCGTGAGCAACAGCTAGTAATATAAAGAGGAAAGATTTGTATTTTTGTGAATCGAAATAACTCAAAAACTACTGGGGTAATTTCAAAAAATCCTTCACCATTGAAAAACTACGTTACCACTGTATAACGACTATTAACACATGAACGAATTCGCGTGCAACAAGTGTGTCATAAAAGGTGTCATAATGGTGTCATGCGCCACGCCAGGTGTACTCTCGCATCGAGTTGGGGTCTGACTCGTGGCAGGCGCTGGAAGTGCCGCGCGGCAAGTTGTATGGATGGGATACCAACTCTACTTATATTAAACGACCACCCTTCTTTGATACTATGACTAAGGTAAACATAGAAAATAAAAACAATAACCCCCTTAACCCCCCCTTTTATCCCTTACCTTTCTTTTCATTACACGACCACGATTTACGTAATAACTTAGGCTAAGGGCCTGTCTCATCAAATTGTAGAGTCTGATTACAATCCAACGTGTACAATATGTTGTTAACAGTGACGTTTTTAAGCTATCTGAGGCTCTATCAGCCAGTGGTGGGACAGGTCCTTAAGATTATAGTTATGTATTGAATTGTAGTCTATTTTTTTTGCATATAAAGAAATCCTACATTAAAAGCGTTTTAATTTGTGTTCTACGTTTTTCAATATATGTAAAGATCCTTTTCGTAAAAGAAAAATCGTAAAAATCAGATTTTGTATTAAAATTTACTCGTGAATGCACGAAATATCACGAACACTAAGTTTCGGGTATATTTTCGTAACCGAAGTAACTGAAACTACAAAATTTCATCCATCTCTTGAACCATAGAATAACAAAGCAAAATAAAATTGTACTTACGGTATTAATAACGACATTTTTATTCAAAATTGACATGCATTTTTTTGAGATTCATCAATCATACTAATATTATAAATGCGAAAGTTTAGATAGATGTTTGTTAGAGTTTGTAGCCTAAACTGCTGTACGGATTTCGATGAAATTTGACATAGATGTAGAGGATAGTCTGGAAGAACACATAGGCTATTTACTTTTCATTTTCTTTAATTCCACCCGGACGGAATCGCGGGCGAAAGCTAGTAAGTCATATTTCTTTTATGTAAATAATCTTGTAAATAACACTAATCCCTTTATTTCAGGAGTTACCTTCAATAAGTAGTATAAACAACGCTCGTTGTCTGCTGCTGCTCGGGGACTCCGTCACCACGGACCACATTTCTCCCGCAGGTTCCATAGCCAGGAACTCTCCTGCTGCTAGATATCTTGCTGATAGGGGGTATGTGTTTATATCAGCCACCACCAAATTGAGTTATTTAAAATATAACCTATAAGTAAAATCAAGGTTATTTAATTTTTCAGCCAAAAGCAAGTTATTTGAGTAATCAAAATAATAATAAAAGCTTTTAATTATACGGATAGCTTACATATAATTGACTTTCAACGTTAGTTAGATTTGTATTTTTGTATATATTGAAAAAAACTCAAAAACTACTGGGACGATTTCAAAAATTATACCACCGTTGGAAAGTTATCTGTGAGTTACATAGGCTATATTGTTATATTTCACGTGGACACAGACGCAAGGAAAAGCTAGTCTATACTAATATTATACAGAGGAAATCTTTTTATTATTGTATGTATTGGAATAACTCAAAAACTACTGGGACGATTTCAAATTTTTTGCACCATTACAAAGCTACGTTATCGAGTAACATAAGCTATATTTTTATATTTCACGTTGACACAGTAGCGAGTAATAGCTAATCTCCACTTATATTATACAGATTAACGATTTGTATATATTGAAATAACTCAAAAACTACTGGGGCGATTTTTTTCCCCATTATAGTGTGTCTAAATAAGATAGATTAGTTTGATAAATGACGCATATGAAGTATCGAATTCAATTTGTATGAAGGTAAATGCCATACTTAGACAGGTATCGTAGTGACGAAACACGCAGCGAACAATTTTGAACTATCGATATTCGGTTTAAATAATTATCGAACTCAACTAAAACTATTATTTTCTTATTAACTAATTTAGAGGACAATTCTATTATTGATTATAGTGTAGAGAATTTAACGATGACAGAAATAATAGCGAAATCCAATTCCATTTTGTACGGCTGTAGTAGTAATAAACATTTATTTTTTGTTATGGTCATTATTAATTTGAGAAAACAGTGTTTTATTTAAATTCATAAGTTATAACTATAAATCTATCGATTCCAACTTCTATAAGAATAAAAATCGAAAATCGATAAGATTCATGACTGATTTCACACAACCCATCCCTAATAAATTTGAAGTGAATTGTCAAACTAATCTAAATTATTTTGACATACTATAGAAAGGTTTATCTGTGAGTAACATAGACTATATTTTTTTATAGTTTTCTATAAAATATCTATTATATTTCCAGTTTATCTCCTCGTGAGTTTAATTCTTACGGTTCTCGTCGCGGCAACGACGCGGTGATGTCGCGAGGAACTTTCGCTAATATACGATTGATTAATAAATTGTCTTCAAAAGCTGGTCCTTACACCACACACCAGCCCAGCGGTGATCAGATGGATGTCTTTGATGCTGCTGAAAGGTACATACATACATACATACATACATACATACACACACACACAATCATAATTAGTAACTATACTTCCGAAGTGTGGCAGACTTTTGACATTTGTTGATTTTTTAAGTTTTTATAAATAATAAATTGACTTATTTATATTAAAAGGTGGCAAATGAGCAAGCAATTTTACAATGGTAGTGCCCGCTTTAACATGTTAGCACTGCAGGGCTCGCCCCCAATACCACGACCACAGACAGGCGTGAAGTGGAAGCAATTCCGTGTACAGTCTGATGAGTGTGGTGCCGGAAGCCTCATTTAAGTCCCTTATTCCTTACCACCCTTTTTCTTATAAGGAGAGGATGGGAAGGGAAAGTGGATTTGACGGTGGAGGAGATGCATAGGAAGAGGAAATATCCTCTTTTTGTGCGTCTCGTCCTACGTCGTATAAGGGTAGGCGACGCATCTGCAATTGCGGATGTCTATGGGCAGTTGCTTCGCCATTTTGGCGGATTAAGGTGGCCGTTTGCTCGTTTGCCACCTTATAATATAAAAAGTCAATTTATTATTTTTTTTTCTACGTAGACGGAGTCGGGTCACCTAGTATGTTTGAATTTTCAATTCTGTTTACCCCATTTTAGATATGCGTCAGAAGGGGTACCTTTAATAGCTGTGGTAGGTAAGGACTACGGGTCAGGCTCGAGCAGGGACTGGGCCGCTAAGGGACCGTTTTTATTGGTAAGTTAACGTAGGTTTACACTGCACATAACTCTTATATTATCTATGCATTTATATATAGATTACAAATTACATTAAAAAAAAAACCTTTAAAAAACAATACATAGATACAAAAAATCAATTATCCCTAGGGAACTTGATATTTTGAGGATGGATGGATGGATGATGTCCCATGTGTTATTTCAGACTTTGTTTTACTATACTGATATTATGAAAAGAAGATTTGTATTTTTGTATGTATTAACTCAAAAAGTACTGGGACGATTAGAGTATTTTTAATTTCACGTGTAAAAAGTCACGAGCAACAGCTAGTCTGTACTATATAAAGAGGAAAGATTTCTGTTTTTGTATATATTGGAATAACTCAAAAACTACTGGGACGATTTCAAAAAATCTTTAACAATTAAAAAGGTAGTTTATCTATCAGTAACATAGGATATTTTATTAATTTCACGCGGACGAAGTCGCGAGCAACAGCTAGTCTATACTAATGTTATAAAAAGGAAAGTTTTGTATTTTTGTATGTATTGAAATAACTCAAAAACTACTGGGGCAATTTTAAAAATTCTTTCAACATTAAAAAGCTAATTAACGAAGTTCTATATTTTATTAAAAAATAAACTAAACACCTAAATAAATAGATTTTGAGTAATCCCTTTGTACCTATCAAAGAAATTACCGGTTGATTTTTGTTCACAATATATAGACTACTAGATTTTCGCCCGCGACTCCGTCCGCGTGGAATTGGAAATTACAAAAGTGAATAGCTTATGTGTTCTTCCAGACTATCCTCTACATATATACCAAATTTTATAGAGATCCTTTCAGCAGTTTAGGCTACAAACTAACAAACATCCATCTAAACTTTCGCATTTATAATATTAGTATAACTATTTTCTTAGGGTATTCGAGCAGTAATCGCTGAATCCTTCGAACGTATTCATCGTTCCAATTTAGTAGGGATGGGAATCATCCCCCTGCAGTTCTCAGAGGGTGAGAATGCGGAAACTTTGGGGTTGAACGGCAAAGAGATATTTTCTGTACAATTACCGGAAACTTTGACACCTGGAGAAATGGCGACTGTTACGGTAAGTAAATAGGGTAAAAACGGTATTATGGTGGCAAAACAGGAATTCGCCGAAAAGGCGAAAAGCATAGACAATTGCATATAAGCTAAATTTATGGAATATATTAAAGAGAGTATTATGTTTCTTCTTTCCTATATTATGGCGACAAAGCAGAAATCGCCGAAAAGGCGAAAATCATAGATAATTGCAGATGTATTCCCGTAATTGTAGGAAGATGTTAAAGAGGTTATTCCGCCTTTATCTTTCTTTTTTCCAATATTATGGTGGCAGTGCAGGAATTCGCCGAAAAGGCGAAAATCATTGTCAATTGCAAATGTATTACCTTAATTGATGGAAGATATTAAAGAGGATATTTCCCCTTATCTTTCTTCTTTCCTATTTCCTAAATTATCTTCCAAATTCTTTTAAGGAAAGGAACGAAAATAAGGCCCCAAAAATATGTTTTGAGATAAACATAAAGTAATTGTTGATATTTAGATTGTTTTTTTTTTTAAATTAATTAACCGTCAAATATTGAAAAATGCTTCGTTTAAATTCCATTATTTTGTGGTTTTATTTACTCGTTTTAGCATTATTTTGTCTATGTTGTGTTTTTTAGTTGGACAGCGGGAAATCATTCAAAGTGAAAATTCGCTTCGACACCGAAGTCGATCTCACGTACTTCAAACACGGCGGAATCCTCAACTACATGATAAGGAAGATGCTCTAGACAACTGTCAAATTTACTTGACAGCTGTCAAACTGTCAAGTTTTCTTGACAACCGTCGAACCGTGAATCGACTTGAATCGGAGAGCAAATTGTCAAAACTACGTTCGAAAGCAAACCTCTTAATTGCAATATTTGACAAATGTCAAGAACCTGTCAAAATTGACTAATTTCTGACTCTAATTTAAAGTAAATTCACCTGATTTTTAACTTAATTTAGCTTTAGGCAAATTTCTACAGTCAAACCTGATTTGACAGCTGTCAGTGTCAAGCGCAATTTGGGCTGTCATTATGACGAGTCTGTCAAATTTGACAATTGTTTAGGGGATTTTTATTCTGTTGATTCAGAATTGGTTTTACGAGAAATTAAAGCTTTTTTGTATTGTATAAAAGGGTTTTTTATAGTGAAATAAAATAAATCTATATTTATATTAAAATAATTAATTTTCTTGAACAAATGAAGGGTTTTAGGATGAAATGGTTTATGGCTATTTATATCTGAAATAAAATGGTGCATTGAATTTATTTTCATAGGAAATGTTTTTAAATTAAACAAATAATTATTACTAACGTCTTTTATTTCATCTTATTTACAATAATTATTATTAATAATACAGTGACCCCAACAGTGGGGGCACAAAACTCATAAATGACTACCTAGGGTTAAACCTTAAAAAACCGGACACAAAAAAATACATAAATTAAAAATAACTCCTACAAGCAAACTCAAGAAAAAACTAAATCCAGAGCGCAGAAAGTCAACATTAATTATCTCTGACTCCCACACTGGGGTTACAAACTCAACATGTCATCAGTGACCCCACACTTGGGGCACAAAACTAAAGTCACAGAACCTTAACATTAAGGCAAATTCGTTACAAACTGAATTACTGCGGTCACGATGTCAATCCGATATACACTGGGGTCACAAACTCAAATAACCAATATTAGGGGCACAAACTCAAATACACTAGTGACCCCACGTTAGTGGTACAAACTCTATTACACTATTGAGTCCACATTGGGGGCACGAACTTAAAATATTAATGAGCTCACACTTGGGGTCACAAATTCAGAACGCACTATTTGCGCGCGTGCAGCAGCTTGTGTGAAGTGCGCACTATTTGCGCGCGTGCAGCAGCTTGTGTGAAGTGCGCACTATTTGCGCGCGTTGAGCAGCTTGTGAGAAGTGCGCACTATTTGCGCGCGTGGAGCAGCTTGTTGTGTGTGTACAGTGCGCCGTTGTGCGCGAAGGTCGCGGGACAGCGCGCGCACTGCAGCGGCCGCTCCCCGGTGTGAGTGCGCACGTGATGACGTAATATCTGCAGAGTCTAATAAACACAGATTTACATTGATTAGTGGGAGCCTCGGCTCAGTAGTTTAAGCAGTTGACTTGTAATCTAAAGGTCTTGGGTTTGAATACCATTGTACCTGTGATTTTGGTTTTTTCTGATTTCAAAGTGTCCTAGTCACCCTAAGGGTTCCCCTCAGTGGGGATAAAGTATGGTGATGATTATCAACTTCCCCTTCTCTCTACGAAGGCACAGTATGTACTTCCATACATCTCCATCCACATACAATCTCCTTTTATCCGCAATACAACCCAATTCAGATCCATACAATATAACGGGTAAATAAAAAAACATTGACTATGGAAGAATATGAAAATCTTAGTAAAACAGTCAATGTTCTGAAGATATAGTAACAAACATCCATACATTGAAGCAGTAACTTGCTGTTGTTAGCGACTTTGTCCGCATGAAATTAAAACATATGACTTAGCCATAACATAGCTTTTAGCGGTGAAATATTTGAAATTAGCCCAGTAGTTTTTGAGTTTTTCCAATATTACAAAAATACAAATCTTTTCTCTTTATATTAGTTTAGACTAGCCGTTACCCGCGACTTCGTGCGCATGAAATTAAAAAAACAAATAAGAAACTGATAGCGTAGCTTTTTTATTGTGATAGAAGTTTTGAAATTGTCCCAGTAGTTTTTGAGTTATTTCAATAGATACAAAAATACAAATCTTTCCTCTTTATAATTTTAGTATAGATGCTACTTACAGTAAAACCTTGTCCACAATGATCGCATATTTTATTCCTCGGCGGCCTTTTCTTATCGTGAACGAAACTTTTATGTTTCTTCAATGCTGAATTGTTTCTAAATACCTGAAAAACAATAAAACCCAGATTTAAAAAATATATTACAGTGCCATCTATAATAAAATGCAATTAAATATTTTTAGATAACGCCATCTATTGCACAAATGTTGCGATTAAAATTAAATTAGTTTCAGCGCCATCTATATTTCTAAAGATACAAATAAATGTTTAAATTGACTACAATGCCATCTATTTCTGAAAGTCAAAATGAGTAATTTTGTCTTCATATATCAAGTGGCCAATTCGCTATTTAGGCGAATTTAAATAATCGATCACTTGTTATTTTCTATACTAACATTATTAATGGAAAGATTAGTATTTTTGTATATATTGGAATAACTCAAAAACTACTGGGCCAATTTTAAAAATTCTTTTACCGTTAGAAAGGCAATTTCAGTAGTTATTTTAATTCCACACGAAGTCGCGAGGAACAGCTAGTTTCTTATAGAATAGCTTCAACAAAGTATTTTGTAACATTATCTAGTGAGTTTTTTTTGTATAATATAATGTGGCAAACGAGCAAGCGGCCTGACTCTACCGAAATGGAAAGCGACCGCTGCACATAAACATCCGCAATTGCAGCGCTGCCTACCCTTCATTGACGGTGGAGGCACATAAAGAGGACATTTCCCCTTCCTATGCGTCTCCACTGTCAAATACACTTTTCCTTCCCATCCTTTCCTCTTAAGAGTAGAAAGAGAAATGGACTAAAATGAGGCCTCTTGCACCACTCATAAGTACGCGGAATTGCTTCCACTTCCCGCCTGTCTGTGTGGTCTTGGTATTGCTGAGAGCCCTACAGTGCTAAGATATTAAAGCGGGCTCTACTGTAGAACATTTTAATTAATAAAACGGCCAAAATAACTTATTTTAACTATATTATCTTATTTCTTACCTTACTGCAATCTTCACATACATATTTCTCCTTTTTCAAATGTTCCCAATTAATGTGTTCTTCTAATAAACGCTTCAGCAAAAACTTCAAACCGCATTCATCACAAGTAAACCTAAAAATAACATAAGTATAAAAAAATATAAAATACCATCTTTCGGTCGCGACTTCGTCTGCAGGGAATTAAGAAAAAAAACAAATCTAAGTAGCCTATGTGTTTTTTCAGACAATATTCCAATTCTAAATTGCATACTTGATTTTACACAACCCATCCCTACTAAATTGCATACTTGATTTTACACAACCCATCCCTACTAAATTGCATACTTGATTTTACACAACCCATCCCGACTAAATTGCACACTTGATTTTACACAACCCATCCCTACTAAATTTTACACAACCCATCCCTACTAAAGTGCATATTTGATTTTACACAACCCATCCCTACTAAAGTGCATATTTGATTTTACACAACCCATCCCTACTAAATTGCATACTTGATGTTACACAAACCATCCCTACTAAATTGCAAACTTGATTTTACACAACCCATCCCGACTAAATTGCATACTTGATGTTACACAACCCATCCCTACTAAATTGCATACTTGATGTTACACAAACCATCCCTCTTAAAGTGCATACTTGATGTTACACAATCCATCCCTACTAAATTGCATACTTGATTTTACACAACCCATCCCGACTAAATTGCTTACTTGATGTTACACAACCCATCCCTACTAAATTGCATACTTGATGTTACACAATCCATCCCTACTAAATTGTCACATGAATTATCAAACTAAATTATCTTTTTTAAAAAAATCGTGCACTGTCTATACTATCTATTCTATTATAATAAAGCGTAAACACACACTTCTTTGTTACCTAAGATGTCAGCAATTACAGCATATTTTTGAATAATTCTTTCTTTAATCAAAAGCCTTACACTTACGTCACGCTTTAGGCTATATATTTTCACGCTATTAAACTTAGGCTGTAAATATTTTGGATAAAAACCCTAAGGTAGGAAAGAGACCATAAGTTGCCAACATCAAGGAAACAAGTTTGCCAAGGTTTGTCATGTCATGTCAGTTTGACATTTGGAATTGACAATTTGACAAATGTAAACAATAAAATAAAAAAATTATAATTTTATGCGGATGAAGTCGCACGATAACAGCTAGTTTTAGAAAAAAACTCCAATGTGGGAAAGAGACCAAACAACCAATATCCAGGAAACAAGATTGCCAAGGTCATGTCATGTGCTATTGATAATGACAAATGTAAACAATAAAATAAAAAAATCATAATTTGACGCGGATAAAACCGCTGGGGAACAGCTAGTATAAATATATACTTACTTTTTGTCTGAATCCCGTACATGCTTGGAATGTGTCTTCAAATGGTGTTTCAAAGCTATCGCGCTTCTGAAATGTGTCTTACAAGTGACACAGAAGCTGTCGGGGCCGGGGCCCGCGGCGTGCAGCGCTTGGTGCGCGACCAGACTCGACTTAGCTCGATAACTCTTACCACAAATAGGACATATGTATGTGCGACCAGATTTACTGTGCACTGTGCTAGAAAAAAAGACATATAACATAAGGTGGCAAACGAGCAAGCGGCCACCTGAAACCGCCAAAATGGCGAAGCGACTGCCCATAGACATCCGCAATTGCAGATGCGTTGCCTACCCTTATGCAACAGAGGAGTCGCACATGGAGAGAATATCTCCTCTTCCTATGCATCTCCTCCGCCGTCAAATCCACTTCCCCTTCCATTCCTCTCGTTATAAAAAAAGGATGGTAAAGAGAAAGGAACTTAAATGAGGCCTCCGGCACCACACTCATCAGACTGTACACGGAATTGCTTCCACTTCACGCCTGTCTTCTGTGTGGTCGTGGTATTACACCGGACGTGCCGGCCTATATACAAAATGTGTAAAATATTTGTGTAAAAGTAATTTATTAGTGTATAAAGTAATATTACACTTGTCAAATGTTCACACATGTGTTTATGATAGTAAATTAAAATTTCATTACACATATAAAACTACACATGAAGATGAAGATTGAATGTGTAATTAATTATTGCAAGTGTAAAAATGCATTGATGTGTGTGAATTAAATAAAAACAAAAATGAGTAACCTACGTGTTTCAGACTATCCTCTACATCTATACCAAATTTCATTGAAATCCTTTCAGCAGTTTAGGCTACAAACTCTAACAAACATCCATCTAAACTTAGGCATTTATAATATTAGTATGATTACACAAGTAATAAATTGCAAGTGTGTACACAAGTAATAAATAAATTACACATTTCATAAATAGTGTAATAAACAGCTACACTTTAGCTGTTTATTGCTGTTTCTGTAGTGTATATAAAATATTACATTATGTACTAACAACACATGGGTCCGAAGCGCGTTGGCATTAGCGAAGGTGTTGCCACACTGTCTGCATTTCTTTTTATTTCGATGTTTCTCTCTGTGATACCTATATGTACGGTTTGATCTGAAAATGTATAATTGTAAAGGTGTTTTTGTTATTTAGGGGGTCACATGGACCCCAAGGGATATTTACTTAAGGTTTTCGCAGAACTCAGAGGGTTTCAGACCCCAGACTTAGACTATTGGACTTTATCTGAAACTCAGTTTTCAGAATGTAGGGTGTTTTGAAAATTTAGAGGGTCACTTGGACCCCAGGGGATTTTTTTTTTTTTTTTATAATAAAGGGGGGCAAACGAGCGGCGAGAACACCGAAGTGGTCAGCGACGCCCATGGACATCCGCAACACCAGAGGAACTACAGATGCGTTGCCGGCCTTTGAGGAAATGATAGGCTCGCTTCTTGAAGGACCCTAAGTCGTATTGGTTTGGAAATACCGCCGTGGACAGACCGTTCCACAACGCGGCTGTGCGGGGCAGGAAGTTCCGCGAAAACCGCACGGTTGTGGAATGCCAGCCATCGAGATGGTGAGGATGGTATCTAGCGGTCTGTCGTGTCGTCCGATGACGAAACTCGGCGGCAGGAATCGTTCCAAACAACTCCTCGGAACACTCCCCGTGGTAAATGCGGTAAAACATGCAGAGGGAACTGACGTCCCTCCGCAAGGCCAGAGGATCTAGCCGATCGGTAAGAGCTCGGTCGTTGACGATTCGAGTCGCTCTCCGTTGTATGCGGTCAAATGGAAGAAGCTGGTATTGGGGTGCTCCCGCCCAGAGGTGCGAGCAGTACTCCATGTGGGGCCGAACTTGCGCCTTATAGAGCTGAAGGCGGTGGCCCGACTGGAAATATTGCTTCGCCCTACTGAGCACACCCAGCTTTTTGGAAGCCAGCTTGGCCTTATCTTCCAGATGACCGCGAAACTGAACGTCACTCGATATGTCAACGCCGAGAATACCGATACTGGCTGAGGCAACCAGGGAAGTGTTCTGAAACCGGAGATTGACGACAAAGGGATATAAAGAGCGTAAGAAAGCTTTAGCAGAACTCAGAAGGAATACCCTATAGTTTCCTTAGAAAGGGTCTTAACCCTAGAGGGTGTTCAGGTAGAAGTTTTCGGAAGGGGGTATTTAATGCCCAAGGGTTTGGACCCCAGGGGTTCATTCTGTATACTTACTCGGTAGTAAATCCGCAATCAGTACAAGTGTGTGAAGTTTGTATGGCTCCGTGTTGTTCCTTATAATGTTTGATGACGTAATGCAGATCTGCCTTACGTAGTCCACATTCCAAACATTCGTATCTAAAAATGTCTTTTTTCTGTCATCCATACCCTTCTATCGTATGTAATGTCTCCTATGACATTTAATGATAATGTAGCTATCTAATGGTGAATAAATTTTTGATATCGGATAAGTAGTTTTTGAGTTTATACGTTACAAACTTTTTTATTTTATTAGTATTTATAGACGTTGGCGTATATCTAGTTGTTGCTCGCGACTTCGCCGGCGTGAATGTAAAAAATAATAAAAAATGTAGCCTATGTTACTCACAGAAAAATTATCTAATGGTGAAAGAATTTTTGAAATTGTCCCAGTAGTTTTTGAGTTATTTCAATACATACAAAAAAACCCTTCTTTATAATACTAATAAGTATAGATATAAATATACATAGATTGAAAAAATTCATAACATACTGTATATTTACTGAAAACGAAAAAGTATTTTTTTCTTGTCTGTTTGTCTGTTTGTTCCCTCTAATCTCTGAAACGGATGGTCCAATTTTTACGGGACTTTCACGGAAATATAGCTAAAGTATACAGGAATGTTATAGAATGGTTTTTTTCATGATTTTTTTTTAAATTTCTAGTCTAGATTTGAAAAAATGTTAATTTCCCTAATAGTTAATATATTTACCGTCTTATATGTCTCTTTTTATGCTCTTTTAAAGACGCTTCAGTACTTAAAACTGAATTACAAATATCACATACATATCCATTTTCTTTCTGTAACAATAATTAATTAGTTAAATTGTCTATACTATCAAATGAAATAAATATTATAAATGCGAAAGTTTAGATGGATGTTTGTTAGTTTGTAGCCTAAACTGCTGAACGGATCTCTATGAAATTTGGCACAGGTTTAGAAAGTCTGGAAGAACACTTGAGATACTTTTTATACCGGGAATAGTTACAGTTCCCGTGGGATTCGTTTAGTTTTTTAATGTTTACTCGATCATTCAACGGTTCAACATATCTTATTGAAATTTGTCACAGATATAAAACAAAGTGTGGAGTACACATGGGGTAAGGTTCATCTCAGAGAAATGTCCGGTTCCCGGGATACGTAGCTTTTTGTTATTTATATAGTTCGTATGTTTTGTACCAGGCGGACGAAGTCGCGGGCAACGGATATAATATTATAAATGCTAGTTTAGATGGATGGATGTTTGTTAGTTATAACAGTAACAATAATACAGTTAGTTGACCTAGCTCGACGCGCGGGTTCGCTTAGATACCTAATCGCTCCACTCGCGTTAACAAAAAGCTACATATCCCGGGAACCGGACATTTCTCTGAGATGAACCTTATCCCATGTGTACTCCACACTTTGTTTTATATCTGTGACAAATTTCAATAAGATATGTTGAACCGTTGCAGAATGATCGAGTAAACATTAAAAAACTAAATTAATCCCACGGGAACTAACTATTCCCTGGATAAAAAGTATCTCAAGTGTTCTTCCAGACTTTCTATACCTGTGCCAAATTACATTAAGATCCGTTCAGCAGTTTAGGCTACAAACTAACAAACATCCATCTAAACTTTCGCATTTATAATATTAGTAAGATTATTATTATTATATATTATGCTATATAAACAAAAATCTAATATTTTTTCCACAAAAAAAAATCAAAACCCTATAGGACATTTTTATAAATAATACAAATAAAAAATACTCACATTACTATGTCGTTGTAACACATGCATTTTTAATGTCACTTCATGATCAAATCCCGTCACACAATCTTCACATTTAAAAGGTAAATTTATGTAAGAAATTTTCACCGATTCCCTCTTCCTTTCTTCCATCATTTCTTCGTAACTCAGCATAACTATCTTCAACTTCCCTTCGTAATTAGGTCCTCGTTTCAATCCTTTTATCTTTTTATTTTTAACTTTTTTAACTTTTAAAGGTACATCGTAATCTGTCTCTTCGTATTTAAAATCAGTTATTTCCGTTTTGATATTCATCGGTTGGGTAAATTCTATTTTTAAAGGTTCGTTATTAACTGTCGAATTAATTTCTATATCTGTTATATGATATTTCTGTGGTTCTATTATTATTTTATTCTGAAATATGTCAAAAAAAATAATGAAAATGGCGCATAGTTTAAAAATCTCTAAATATTTAAAAAAACTAAAAACTACTTCTTATTCATACTGATATTATAAATGGGAACATTTGTATTTATATTTTTTTTATTTTAACACAAGAAAACATATAATCTATACTATTATAATAAAGCGTAAACACACGCTTATTTGTTGCCTAAGATGTCAGCAATTACACCATATTTTTGAATAATTCTTTTTTTAATAAAAAGCCCTACACTTACGTCACACTTTAGGCTATATTTTCACGCCATTAAACTTAGGGAGTAAATATTTTGGATAAAAGCTGTAATGTGGGAAAGAGACCATAAGTTGCTGCCAACATCAAGGAAGCAAGATTGCTAAGGTTTGCCATGTCATGTCATTTTGACATTTGCTATTGATAATTTGACAACTATAAATGATATAAAATTTTCATAATTTCATGTGGATGAAGCCGCATGAGAACAGCTTGTGTTTATATAATGTCGCCAAACTGCACAACAGTTTGTTGGCGACAGACACCCATTTCTTACATCTATTCTTATATACTTACATCCATTTTCATTTTATACATATACAAGACTTATTTCTTAATTTAATTTTTGCAATATTGGATTTATTGTCAATGTCTTCATTTCTAAAGAATTTAATGCAATTATATAATTTAAATAAATAAATAAATAGAATTTTTATTGCCACAAAAAAAACTACATAAACATTTAATGCACAAAACCTTAGAGCTAACATAAAAAAAAGAGAGGAAAATGTGGCAAAAGGTGGCAAGCTCAGCTAATGCAGGGACGGCGCAAGCCGTTACTGCGCTGGTTTTCAGCTGGCCCCTTTACACATGAGTATTAACACATAAGTAGGGTGACTTAACCGAGACAGACATTAAAAAATATTAAGAAATAAATAATATATTAAGGTTACGATTTTATTCATTTTCAAAGGCTAGATAATAATTTTTTAAAGATAATTAAAAAAAAATAACATATAGGTTCAAACTTAGTTTACAATTGTGTGCATACCAAACCGCTTTATAATAGTCAATAAGTGATGTGATAAAAACAAAGTGATAGCATAGTGACTTTGGTCTTATTTATATACAGTTTTGAATTTGTGACTCTAAAAGGAATCTTTTACACTTATATTTAAAACCTGGTTGCGATACAATTTGGTTTATAAGTGGTGGAAGATCATTCCAAACCTTTGATGCTGAAATCTTAAAACCACCTGTAAAGCCAATTGTATTGTGCTTAGGTATAGTCAGTTTGTTTTGTGAAATAGTTCTTGTCAAATGGGCCCCAGTCCCTTTTCTCCATTCAAGCTTATCTGAGAGGTGTTATGGTATGGATGTTTGTTAGAGTTTGTAGTCTAAACTACTGAACGGACTTCAATGAAATTTCTCTCTAACAATAACTCATACTGGAGTAGTATAGTGCCGGAGGCCTATTTTTAGTCCCTTTACCTTCCCACCCTTTTCTTAAGAGGAAAGGATGGGAAGGAAAAGTGAATTTGACACATAGGAAGCGGAAATGTATCTCCTTTCCATCGATTAAGACCTCTACCGGTGTACTCATAACTAACATCCAAAACTAATCATTTTTTTTTATAACATAAGGTGGCAAACAAGCAAGCGACTAAATCCGCCAAAATGGCAAAGCGACCGCTGCCCAGACATCCGCAATTGCACATTCGTTGACTACCCTTAACGACGCACATAAAGAGGATATTTCCCCTTCCTATGCGTCTCCTCCACCGTCAAATCTTTCCCATCCAATTATAAGAAAGGGTGAAAAGGGAATGGGACTAAATTGGGCCTCCGGCACCACACTCATCAGATTGTACACGGAATTGCTTCCACTTCACGCCTGTCTGTGTGGTCGTGGTATTGCTGGAGGCGAGTCCTGCTGCAAGTTGTTAAAGCGGGCCCTACCACTGTTATAATCTAAAACAATAAACTCACCATATTATAAAGGGTTGCAATAGATTCTTCCACTTGTCGTTTAAATGTATCAATTTTCATTATTATATTGTGACAGAAACAACAAACATACGCATCTTTGAAGTCCACCTGAAACTGAAATTTAATAAATTAGTAAACACCCACTCTGGTTACGAACAGATACAATTCTCATATGAAAATGTGTTTATAAACATCATTAAAAACTAACTTATTAAAACTTTCGTGAGACATACTATATTTTTTTTTATAACATAAGATTGCAAACGAGCAAGCGGCCACCTGAATCCGGCAAAATGGCGAAGCGACTGCCCCTAGACATCTTCAATTGCAGATGCGTCGCCTACCCTTATCCGACGGAGGAGACGCACATAAAGAGGATATTTCCTCTTCCTATGCATCTCCTCCATCGTCAAATGCACTTCCCCTTCCCATCCTCTCATAAGAAAAGGGTGGTAAAGAGAATGGGACTTAAATTAGGCCTCCGGCACCACACTCATCAGACGAAACACGGCATTGGTTCCATTCCATTTGGGTGTGCCGGCCCATTCGTGCTAAGATGTTAAAGAGGGCACTAACACTGTACTATATGTTTTATAACACAGCTAAAGCTCACGTGGGAACTTTCTGTCCTGTGCCTACACCAAAAGTTCCCAAGTGAGTTATAGCCATGTTATAAATCATGTCATTAAAAACTTTTAAA